TAGTGTAGTGTTTGTGTTTGTGTTCGTGTGTGTGTGTGTGTGTTGTTGTGGTGTGTGTACGTAAAAAACAACAACACCGAAAAACACCACGTACAAACAACACGTAAACTAACACGTAAACGCAGCACGTAAAAACCAACGCGTGGTGTGTGTGTGTTGTGTCTCAGTGGTTGCGTTTGTGTTTATGTGTGTTATTGTGGTATGTGTACACGTACAATAAACACGTAAAATCAACACTCAAACATGACACGTAAAATCAACACGTCAAAACAACACGTCAAAAGCAATACGTAACAACACCACGTGAAAACAACATGTAAAAAACAACGCGTGGTGTGTGTGCGTGTGGTGTTGTAGTGTTTGTGTTTCTGTTTGCGCGTGTCGTTGTGGTGTGTACACACGTAAAAACAACATGTAAAAACAACACGCGAAACACTACGTGGTGTGTGTGTGTGTTATTGTAGTGTTTGTGTTTGTGTTTGTGTGCTGTTGTGGTGTGTGCACACGTAGGAACCTCACGCAAACGCAACACGTAAAAGCAACGCGTAAAAACAACACGTAAAAACAACACGTAAACATGAGGAGGAGGAGGAGGAGGAGGAGGAGGAGGAGGAAGAGGGGGAGGAGGAGGAGCAGGAGGGGAAGGGGGAGGAGGAGGAGGAGGATGAGGAGGAGGGGGGGGAGGACAATGAGGAGGAGGGGGAGGAGGAGGAGGCCGGGGGGAGGAGGACGAGGAAGAGGCGGAGGAGGAGGAGGGGGAGGGATGGGTGACACACACACAGAAACAACACGTAAAAACAACATGTAAAACCAACACGCAAAAACAATACGTGGTGTGCGTGTGTTGTTGTAGTGGTTGTGTTTGTGGTTGTGTGTGTTGTTTTTGTGTGTGTACACGTAAAGACAACATTTAAGAAACAACACATAGCAAACAACACGTAAAAACAGCACGTAAAAACAGCACGTTAAACCAGTACGTTAAAACAACACGTAAACACAACACGTGGTGTGTGTGTGGTGTTGTATTGTTTGTGTTTGCGTTTGCGTGTGTTATTGTGGTTTGTGTGCACGTACAAACAACACGTAACAAACAACACGTAAAAACAACACGTATCTCAACACATAAAAAGAGCACGTAAAACCCACACGTGTTGTTTTTACGTGTTGATTTTACGTGTACGTACACCCACAACAACACACGCAACACACAGGCATACATTTGACAGCACCACACACACCACGTAAGGTTTTTACGTGCTGTTTTTACGTGCTGTTTTGTGCGTGTTGTTTTTATGTGTTGTTTTCACGTGGTCCTTTTCGTGCACACACACCACAACAACACACTAACACAAACACAAACACCAAATTAACACACACACACACACCGCGTCTTGCTTGTACGTGCTGTTTTCAGTGTTGTTCTTACGTGTTGTTGTACCATGCTGTGTTTACGTGCGCACGCCACAACAACACACAACCACAAACACAAACACTACAGTAACACACACACACACCACGTATTGTTGTTACGTGTTGTTTTTACGTGTTCGTTTTACGTGTTGTTTTTAACTGTTGTTTTTACGTGTTGTTTTCGCGTGTTGTTTTTTGTGTTGTTCTCACGTGTTGTTTTTGCGTGTACACACCCCAACAGTACACACAAACACAAACGCAACCATCACAGTAACACGCACACACCACGTATTGTGTTTATGTGTTGTTTTTATGTGTACACACCACAACAACGCACGCCAACACAGACACAACCACTACAGTAACGCACGCAGGCCACGTATTGTTGTTACGTGTTGATTTCCCATGTTGTTTTACGTGCGCACACACACACACCACAGCAACAACCACACACACAAACACAACCACTACAGTAACACACGCACACACCACGTATTGTTTTACGTGTTGCTTTTACGTGTTGTTTGTGACGTGTTGTTTTTACGCGGTGTTTCAACGTGTTGTTTTGATGTGTTGTTTCTACGTGTTGTTTCTACTTGCTGTTTTTACGTGTACGCACCACAGCAACACACACACACCATCACTACAGTAGCACACACACCACGTGTTGTTTTCACGAGTTGCTATTGATTTGTACGTGTTGTTTTTTTCTTGGTTGTTTTTACGTGTTGGTTGTACGTGTTGTTTTTACGTGTCCACGCGCCACAACAACACACGCAACCACAAACACAAGCACTACAGCACCACACACACGCACACACATCACGTTTTTTTTTGTTGTTTGTTGTTCGCGTGTTGTTTTTACGTGGTGTTTTTACGTTGTGTTTTACGTGTTGTTTTTGCGTGTTGTTTTCGCGTGTTGTGTTATGTGTTGTTCTTACGTGTTGTGTTTACGTGTTGTTGTTACGTGTACACGCACCAAAACAACACACGCAAACACAAACACAAACAGCACAGTAACACACACACCACGTATTGTTTTTACGTGTTGCGTTTACGTGTTGTGTTTTACGTGTTGTTTGTACGTGTTGTTTGTACGTGTATGCACACACCACAAGAACACACGCAACCACAAACATTAGAACTGCAATAACGCACGCACATCACGTATTGTTTTTACGTGTTGTGTGTTGCGTGTTGTTTTGTACGTGTTGTGTTTACGTTTTGTTTTCTGTGCACACCCACGCCACAACAACACACACAAACGCAAACACAATCTTTGCAGTAGCCCACATACCACGTATTGTTTTACGTGTTGGTTTTACACGGCGTGTTTACGTGTTGAATTTACGTTGTGTTTTGACGTGTTGTTTTTACGTGTTGTGTTTACGTCTTGTTCTTACGTGTACACACCGCAACAACACACGCAAACACAAACACAAACATTACAGGAACACACGCACACACCACGTATTGGTTTACGTGTTGTTTTACGTATTGTGTTACGTGTTGTGGTTACGTGTTGGTTTTACGTGTTGTGTTTATGTGTTGTGTTTCGTGTTGTTTTTGGCCGCTACAAACACCGCAACAACACACGCAAACACAAGCACAAACTTTACAGTAACGCACACACGCAACGTATTATTTGTACGTGTTGCTTTTACGTGCCGTTTGTACGTGTTGTGGTTACGTGTTGTTTTTTTTCGTGTTGGTTTTACGTGTTGTTTTCGTGTACACACCACAAAAACACAAACACAAACACAAACACAAACACTACAGTACCAAACGCACGCACCACGTATTGTTTTTACGTGTTTGGCTACGTGTTGTTGCTACTTGTTGTTTTTGCGTGTTGTTTCCGCGTGTTGAATTCAAGTGCTGTTTTTACGTGTTGTGTTACGCGTACACACCACAACAACACACAAACACAAACATTACAGTAGCAGGCACACCACGTGTTGTTTTACGTGTTGTTTTAACGTGTTGGTTTTACGTGTTGTTTTTTACGTGTTGTTTCCCGTGTTGTTTTACGTGTTGATGTTACGTGTTGTTGTTGCGTGATGTTTTACGTGTTGTTGTTTTTACACGTTGCTGTTGCGTGTTTTTTCACACCACATCAGCACGCACAAACACAAACGAAAACACTACAGTAAAACACACACACACCACATATTGTTTTACGTGTTTTTTTTACGTGTTGGTTTTTACGTGTTGTTTTCCGTGTTGTGTTTACGTGTTGGTTTTACGTGTTGTTGCGTGTTGTTTTACGTATTGTTGTTTTTACACGTTGGTGTTGCGTGTTTTTCCACACCACATCAGCACGCACAAGCACAAACGCAAACACTACAGTCATAAACACACACACCACGTATTGTTTTACGTGTTGGTTGTACGTGTTGTTTACACGTGTTGTTTGTATGTGTTGTTTTTACGTGTTGTTTTTTTCGTGTTGGTGTTAAGTGTTGTTGTTACGTGTTGTATTTTGGTTATCACGTTTACGTGTTGTTTTTACGTGTTGTTTTCTCACGGTTAGATTCAACCCTCTCGGTGGAGGTCCTTACGGAGCCACGAATCGCTGTACTGGGTGTGGGAGACGCAGGCGGGCTGCGCCACTGGGACCTTCTGTGGAGCTCCTTGTGGAGCCATGAATCGCTGTGCTGGGCGGGGGGACCCATGCGGGGACCTTAGGTGGAGCTCCCTAAAGGGCCGCGAAGCGCTGTACTGGGCCTGCGAGACGCATGCGGGCTGCGCCACTGGGACCTTCGGTGGAGCTCCCTATGAGGCCACGAAGCGCTGTACTGGGCCTGGGAGGTGCATGCGGGCTGCGCCACTGGGACCTTCGGCGGAGCTCCCGACGGGGCCACGAAGCGTTGTGCTGGGTGTGGGAGATGCATGCGGGCTGCGCCACTGGGGGCTTCGGTGGAGCTCCCTATGGGGCCACGAAACGTGTGAGGGGGGTGACGGGAGGAGGGAGGGGGGGAGGAGAGGAGAGGAAGAGAGGAGAAGAGGAGGCGGAGGAGGAGGATCGCGGGGCGTTGTCTCTTCAAAACGAGGACCCACCACCACTGGATGGTTGGGACATATGTTTTAGCGTTCTCGCCTTTTCGGGTTTCCGACGGCCTGGAAGGCGCCCAAGAGATCCGCAAGACGGCCCAAGAGGGCCCCAAGGCAGCCGAAGAGGCCCCCAAGACGCCCCCAAGACGGTCCCAGAGACCTCCAAGACGGCACTCAAGCGCCCAAAGAGGGCTCTACGATTGCCCAGGAAGGATCCAAGACGGCTTCCGAAGGCCATGGGGCCCCCAACAAGCCCCCAAGAGGTCCCCAAGAGGTCCCAGGGGACCCCCACGAGGCGCCAGATGACCCCCCAAATGCTCCTTAGAGCCCCCCACAAAAAGGCTCCCAGGAAGTCCCCAAGAGCCCCAAGAGGGCTTCAAGAGGTCTCCTCTTCCTCCTCCGCCTTCTCTCCTCCCTCTCCTCCTCCTTTCTCGTCCTCTCCCCAGTGTTCCTCTAAGGGGTTCCACAACGGCTGGGGGAACACATAGTCCAATAGCTTGGCTTGACTTCGGCCCAACGTTCGGCCAATGGGGTCCGTAAAGAGCCATTTTGGCTTCAAGACGTGCACGCCGCCCGCACCCCAGCGCCTCCCCGCGCGCCTCTTCGCAGCCACCTCCGCCGCGATGTCCGGGCCCGACGCGCGCGTCGGCGTGGCGCTCGTGGGGCTCGGGCGGGCCGGCCACTTCCATATGACTTCCCTCGCCGGCATCCCCGATCGGGCGCGGCTCGCGTGGGTCGTGGATGTGGACGGGGCCCGGGCCGAGGGCATCGCCGCGCGGCAGGGCTGCAAATGGGCCACATCCCTGGCGCCCGCCCTGGCTGATCCCAGCGTGCAGGTTGTGGTCGTGGCGTCGACAACGGACACCCATTTCCCCTTCATCATGGAGGCGCTGACCGCCAACAAGTCGGTGCTCACGGAGAAGCCCATCTCCCACGAGCTGAAGGAAGTGGAAGAGGCGGTGCAGCTGGCAACAAGCAAGAACTTGCCTCTGTACTGTGGCTACCAGAGGCGCTGTGACAACAATTTCCGAGTGCTCAAGAAGCACGTGGAAGACGGCTCCGTGGGCGATCTCAAAGTGGTCAAGTGCTGCAGCAGGGACAACCCTATGCCGCCAATGGAGTACTTGCGCACCAGCGGAGGCATCTTCCACGACATGCTGATCCACGATTTCGATATGCTCAACTGGCTCAGCGGGGGCGAGGAGCCAGAGTCCGTGATGTCTGTGGGCCACGCCTACAACAAGGAGATCGAGGAGATGGGTGACATCGACACTGTCGCCGTGACGCTAAAGTACCCCAGTGGCCTCATTGCAATGGTGGACACGTGCCGCGACGCCTCGTACGGCTACGACCAGCGCATCGAGGCGTTTGGCGCCAAGGGCATGCTGACGGCGAAGAACGTGCTCACCAGCACCGTGGAGCTGGCCACTTCCGAAGGCCACCTAATGCCCTGTGCGCAGTGGAGCTTTCCTCAGCGATACAAGGAGGCGTACACCACCGAGCTCAAAGAGTTCATCACGATGGTGCGTGCAGGGGTCGACAGCGAGCACCACCGCCTTGAGCAAGAGGCGATGTCGCGCCACCCGAGCATCGTGCGCACCACGATCGCCGCCGAGCTGTCGTGGAAGCTCGGCCGCTCTGTCGACCTGAAAGACTTGGATGGGCTGCTTCTCGAGAGCGAGAAAGGTCCTGAGTCTGACACGCGCAGCACCTGTGACTCGTGCCCCAGCTTGGAGAACCACAGCTCTGACGATGGCAAGAATATGTTCGGTGACACGTTCCGTAACTACGAGGACTCCTGCCGGCAGGAGGAGGTGGCAAGGACGTACAACACGATGCACGCCAAGCAGACGGTGGACTTCGGGCGACAGCAGCGTGACCGCTGGCTGAGGTTCCAGAAGGGAGAGTTCACCGTGATGGAAGTCATCGAGATGCTCGACGACCTCGTCGACGATTCTGATCCCGACGTGGACCTTCCGAACAGCATCCACGACTTCCAGACGGCGGAGCGCATCCGTGCCCAGTGGCCTGACCACGACTGGTTCCACTTGGTGGGGCTGCTGCACGACCTCGGGAAGGTCATGGCGCTGCCGAAGTTCGCCGGGGACTGGGCCCTGGAGCAGTGGGCCGTCGTGGGCGACACCTTCCCGGTGGGGTGCGCCCCTGCCATGGATGCCGTCGTGTTCC